GGCTACATAAATACAATACAATTTCTTGCTCTCATCTTGACCATCGTTGAAGCGTTTCTGGTTGATGATGGTATCAATGGCCAAGGCAGTTTTACTGGCGAAAAAAAAAGAAGAAAACAATAAATAGTTCTTATACAAACTGTAGTCAAATTATTTACCCAGTCTGTCTGTCACCAATGATCAATTCACGTTGGCCACGACCAATGGGTACCAATGAATCGACGGCCTTAATACCCGTTTGCATAGGTTCGCGTACCGAGACACGTGGGATAATACCGGGAGCCTTAATACCAACACGGAAACGATCCTTAGTGTTGATGGCACCTTTACCGTCAATTGCATTACCCAGAGCGTCAACAACACGACCCAATATCTCACTGCCAACGGGTACATCAACAATAGCGCCGGTTCGCTTCACGATATCGCCCTGTTTAATTAGCTTATCGTTACCAAAAACGACAACACCCACATTGTCGGGCTCCAAATTCAAGGCCATACCCTTTAAGCCTGAAGAGAATTCTACCATCTCATCGGCCTGAATATTATTAAGACCATAGACACGAGCGATACCATCACCAATGCTCAACACGCGACCGGTTTCTTCTAAATCGGCTTTAGGGGCAACGCCCATGATGCGCTCTTCCAAAATGGAAGAGATTTCAGCGCCACGTTGCGCACTGGAGACATGAAGTTTACGTGCGGCTAGAGTGGCAACTGGGTAAGCTGCCTTCACGCCAATCTGCAATTGAAAGTAAATGAGTCAAGAGATATATATTTAACGCATTCTCGAGGCGAGAGGGGTTAGCTGACATTTCTTGTTTACCACAGCAATTAAATATCAATGTGTTAAAAAATGCAGTCTTAGTTGAAAAATGAGTTGTTGTTCTAATATTAAATTAAAATTAGTTCGCTAGTGCTACACCTTACAGTGGAAGGGGTCATTCCCCTATACATAAGGGGCTCCAACAAGGTATGAGGTTCATCTTGTTTTGGAAAACTGTCGCAATCCATTTACATTTGATATGGCTGGCAATGCCTTTACCAATGAATATGAGTTTGCTTGTTTGTTTAATTTCGGCAACTTTCAAAGTAATCGTGTCATATCATACGGGAGATAGTTAAATTGACACGGAGTGCTTTTGCCGTAGTAAAGGTCAGACACATCTAAGTAAATAATGTTTTCAACTTTTTGGAAATACTACGGTTTTATCTTGTCACAATATATGCTTTTTAGTAAAGTATTCTTTCCTTACGTAATTTCTTAGAAAATTAATAAAGTTTTCTTACAAGTTTTCCTAAAACCGCATCTAACCACAGATTTTAAAATAAGTGCTTTTAGGAAATTTATCTTCACTGAAAATAAATAACATAACCTCAAAATAGAGGAATATCGATTTTTTCGTCAATTGCAAATGTGATATGTGCCTGTCTCATCTCGAAAAATGCCGCTTAAGGAGAAAATCTGTAATTATGTAACTTATGTACTTTAGCTATTTAAAGCTTTCATCCGTTTAAACCGTAAAAAAATCTATAATTTTTTTGGCAATCAATTTTTCCCCAATGTTATGTAATTTTTTTCAATTTTTCAATATTTATTGGTCCATAATAGAATAAAATTTCATTTCTTGTGTGCACATTCACATAATCACTGATTGCGTAACATTTTTCATCACAAAAATCTTAAAAAAAAGTGGTTAAATGTTATTTAAAAAACATTTTTCAAACACATTTTAATTGCTTTTTGCAAATTAAAGAATTCTTTTCACTTTTTCTATAATTTATTAGTTTATCCTTATACCTGTTGGGCAGCCTTTGGCAAGCTACGAGCCACCGATGTAGCCAAACGAGCAGAAATCATTGACATTTTTACTTAAATTTATTTTTTCTAATAAATAAGTAGAAAATCTTTTTTAATTTTAGGCAGTAAAAATTTTATATTCTTATTCTCAAAGCACCCAACTCCTTCTCTAGACTTGTGTTTTAAAAGATGGTGTCCAAAATTCGTTCACGTTCGCTCTACGAATGGTGCTGTTTCGTTTAGTTACGATATGACGTTAAATTTTTCCAATTCAACCATATCGTTAAGTGGCATCTCTCAATTAACAGCGTTGCCGCATTTCTAATAAGAGTAATATTCCCATGACAAGAAGAAAGAGAAAATAAAAGGTAAACAATAAGTCCGGATACTCTTTATGGAAAAATTAGAGCAATACGATCGATTGCTTTGCGGAAACTTGAATTAAGTAGAATTTTATGTTTCATTAGAGGAAAAGCAAAAGTTAATGATGTTTTCTCAATCGCATGATTTTATTTTTTATCTTTACCTTGTGTTTTTGTGTGGAATTTAAATTTAATTAATTTAGTTCCAAATTAGGTAAATTGCCATATTTGTAGTGAGACGCTTCCATGCAAAGTAGAGCTTTTATTTTAACTTTGGCAAACATTTGGACCATATATGTAATGAACGATTTAGTTAAACAATTGATGATATTAGGTAATTTACCTTGACGAAGGTATGTATTCTCTCAAAAAGTGTTTGCAATTGTTTCTGCAGACTCTCTGTGCACTTAAAACTTAAAATGGCTCTATTTATTAAGAAACTCATGTTTTGTTAAGGCTTTCACACTATCTCAATTATTCTCAATCTTTAGTGTTTGAATACGCAGTCTGAGTGTTTTCAGTTAATCTAAAAATACATAGTTCTTATTTTGGTTTAAGGTAGACAAAGAAGGAAATAATTGTTTAAGGTTTTGTGTAACATTTCGCTTGCAGAATTCATTGCAGGTCACACTTTTTTCAAGTTTTTGGACGAATGTATATTATCGCGCATAGTATTTGTTTCGCATATGACCGGTAAAAGATATGAGCAGCAAGAGGAAGACCTATAAAATATATGAACAGCTGTAAAATTTATGACCAGCAAGAGGAAGACCGGTAAAACATATTTACTTGATCATAAAGTAGAGCGAAGCTCCATTCACATTCACCCAAAGAAAGATAGAAAGGAAAAAAATAAATGAACGTAAGCGGGTAAATTTCAAACATTAAATAATACAAATTTAAAAAGGTAAACATTGGTAGCTATTTTCTAATTTATTGTTCGTTGTGGAGCGTAATTTATATTTATTCACAATCACACAGCTTTTAGTGAACTAGACAAAAATATGCCCATATATTAATCAACTGGAGTTTCTGTAGAACATGATACAGCCGACTTAATAGAGAGCATTTTTACATATTAATTCTTTAAAGGTTACTTTTTTTCCAAATTTTCAACAAATTATTAAGTTTTAGTCCTTCAGATTCGACATTTATTCACAAAATATAGTTCTTCTTTTTTATTTGCTGCCTTCAGGCGTTACCAGAATACTTGTTTAGAAAATCGTAACTTTCGTTGACATTACTTACGTGCATTAGGAATATTTGCAAATGAAAGTTATTATGATTTTTTATAAATTATACTAAAAATGTATAGATATTTTTCGAATTAGTTATTAATTATTTTTTGAAAAAGTGATAAACAAAAAAACGTAACTTTTAAAAAGCAATAATTGACGTTAGCTACACTGTAGTGATCAGTGATTATGTTAAAAAGTCCATTATGTTATTGAAAGTAGGAATAAAATCAGAAGAAATAAGTTCCTATACAAATTTTTTTTAAATTTAAATTTATCAAATATGTAATAGAAGCTGGAAAATGTGTAAATTTATATTGAACTTTGGCAAGTTTCAACGAGCGAAAGGGGTTTAGCATATTTATTGCAACTTTCTGAAATATATAAGAGAAACATTCTAAAATAGATGTATTCTTCCCTTATATACTGGTCGTGGAGCAACAACAATTGGGATAGATCTTTAAAATTTTGACAAAGATTTCTAGTTAATGGCAAGATGAACTATAAAAATGGCCTGAATTCGTTCTTAATAGGCAAAGAAATATAACTTTGGGTGCTAACTATAGTAACGATTATATAATATCTAGAGAGAGTGTATTCTCTCAGGTAATAAAATGATTTTACCAAAGACTAAATCGACTTTGTTGCTCAATTTTAAATTTAAATTTTTAAAATGACTATTAGGATCGTTTGAATATTCTTTTCCTTTTTGTTACCTTCCACGAAAACAATGAATAATAGAATGTGTCAAAATGTCCTGTCATGTACAAACCATCAGAATGAAATTCAACCTTTATAGAGCAATGGTTAAAAATGACTGGAAATTATTTAGGGGTGCTTAACAAATGAGTGGCTTTGGAGACTTAGAGAAGAAAGAAAAAGGAGAGCGTGAGGGACAGAGAGAGAGAGAGAGAGAGAGAGAGAGAGAGAGAGAGAGTAAAGAAATGCCTGTGTGTGATAAAAATATGTGCGGTTTTACTGAAAAGTGATGAAACAACGCTTGAAATTTATAGAATCGCAGAGAAGAATGCGGGGATAAGAATATAACCGTCAGCGTTGTTTTGTGGAAAGATAAAGGAAACGTATTAATACTTAAAAAAAAAGTCTCCATATAGCAGCTTCCAATGAAGAGGAAAACCTCCGGTTATCATAACAACTAATACAGATGCTAGCAGACTTAATATAGTCAGTCGCTGAAGCAGCTTCACTGGACGGAGTTTGTTGTGTGTGGAACGCTATTTCAATTATTTTTCTAACTAAAAACATAGAGAAAAAACTAAAACTTATATTTTTTGTTAAGTTAAAAATTATTTGTTTAAAAAGCAATTTCGAAATTAATTTCGCCTTAACGAGAATTAAAAAAAAAAAAAGAAGGAAAATCGCCTTAAATTAGGCAACATTTCGGGAGAAAAAAAGATATTAATTCCTTTTAGATAGAAATCGTAAAGACGTAAGGACCATACAAAAAAGTATGTTAAAAGTTAAGTATAACAAAGTATAGCGCGGCTGCTGAAATTGTGACGTATTTGGAAGAAAAACAAATGTTTATAAAACAGCGACCACACTAACAGCAGGTACACATACGGTCATACAATCTAAATGAGCACATAACAAACGCGTAAAATTCTTTTTATTTTATTCATTGTTTTTTTTTTTTTTTTTTGGTTTTGTTTTATTTGGCACACAGAGAACTTTAATTAAGGCAATTATCCAATGCCGATGGATTAAAATGTAAAGTGGAGGAAGAATGAAAAGAAAATAGAAAATATGTAAACCAAAGACGTTTGTTATTTAATTAATTAAATTTTTAAGCTTAGTGGCTTAAAGAAGAGGAAAGAACAAAAAAGAAAAAAAAAAATTCAAGTAGCAGCTGTGGATTTTTTTCTTTATTCCTTTGATATACGGTCTGGTGCGTGTACGCATGATGTGGTATTTTATAGGTAATGGTGTTGGTGCCTGTGTGTTTTATACGCTATATATATATGTTTATGCACACATCCTGTGTCTCTGTAAGGTTTGCATGGATGGCCTGGTTAAATAATCAATGTTTAATGCACACCTTAAACAAAACCAAAATGAAGATAGCAGCAAGAGTGGTTGAGTTAAAAACAAAACCAAAAAAAAAATTTATTTTAAACAAAGCGTGAACATTGCACGTAATATAAAATTCAAAATTTCTTTCAGAGATTAGAAAGATTTTTAAATGAAGAAACAAACGAAAAAAAAAACAAATTTTAGTAAACAACTGCCCGAAAATTAGAAAAATCAAAATAAAGGATGAACAGAGCGCATAGCAAAGCTATTAGCTAATAAATGAAACGTAATACATCCAATCTCCAAAACTTAAAATAAAAAAAAAAAACAAACTAATAAAAATTGTATATAAGCTAAGAAAGCTTTAGATTTGGAAACAACATTTGAAATATAGCCAGTACTTTCAAAGAGTTACTGTTAAGAAAAAAAAAAAAAAAAAAAAAACAAGTGAACAAGTGAACAAGTGAAAATAACACCAAAATAAACCAACAGACAGTTGACGTATGCATTTGCACTCTCCCTTTCTTTCTCCGTCTCTCCCCGTCTCACTCTCTCCATCTATTTCTCTCTCTCTATCTCTCTCTCTCTCTCAACATCATTTATTTTGCATGCTGCACGTTGGTCGCTTCTTTTCCATCTTCTGTTTTTTTTCTCCGTTTCACACAAGATTCTAGTAACAACACCACTACGAGCAGCAGCAGCAACAGCAACAACAACAACAACAAACGCAAAAGCAGCAGCATCAATTTGTTGTTACTGTCGTCATAGTAATGTCGGGGTAATTGAGGCATTGTCGTCAGTAAATGTAATTGTTTAGCGTGTTGAATGCCAAACATTATTTGTTAGTTCAAATAAGACTACGTGCGTGCGGTCGTGCGTGCGTGCGTATGTGTCTCTGGCGTGCGGAAGAGTGTTTTTCGGCGTGAGCTATGAGGAGGTTCAAGTGAATATCATAATAATAATAATAATAATGCTATTTTTGTGCGCGTATCATTTTCGTTTATGAATTACGTTTGCCTGTGAAAATAAGTTTTATGTTTAAAAATTTTATTAAAAAAAAAAAAAAAAAAAATGCAAATTTTTACGCTTAAGTGGTTGGCTTTTTGAAAAATGCTTTTTCTGTTAAGTAATCAAACAAGTAAAGGGCACTGCCAAATTTTTCGTAGCATAATTAAAGGCTGTTTAGTAATTATGATAAAAGCAGCATAAATTTATGATAAATAATAAAATAATTGAGAAAAAAAAAATTCATTTAAAGTGTAAATTTAAACTTCAACGATACAACAATAACAAAAAATAAAGAAATAATAAATAAAGAAAAAAATGTTTATCTGGACTACCAGCAAATATAAATAATATAAATTTCATGCTAATCAAAATCAAAATAAGCATATTTGTGTACATGTATATGTTCGTGTTTTTTGTGTAATAAAAATATCAAAATTTCGATAAATTCATCGGTGTTATTGCGGAATATATGAAAACTTTTTATTTTGGATTTGAGTGGCATAACGTACTTAATAAGTTGCCGGAATTCGTGGAAAGAAAGCTAAAGTAAGTTTGTAACGCTTTTAACATT